TCTTGGCTGGATGCGCTGACAACTCTCAGCCAATGGGCCCAGGAACCCACGAAAAGGGAAACGATTACGCAATTCGCAGCCACCCAGCGAGCCGCGAGGTCTCGGCTGGGTGCGCTTACAACTCCACTCCGCTGAGCCTACGGGCAGCACGTGAAAATAACGACAATGGCGCACGTCGCAGCCACCCAGGGAGCCGCGAGGTCTCGGTTGGGTGCGTTTCACAACTCCACTCCGCTGAGCCTACGGGGAGCACGCGAAAATAACGACAATGGCGCACGTCGTAGCCACCCAGCGAGCCGCGAAGTCTCGGCTGGGCGCGTTTCACAACTCCACTCCGCTGAGCCTACGGGCAGCACGCGAAAATAACGACAATGGCGCACGTCGCAGCCACCCAGGGAGCCGCGAGGTCTCGGCTGGGAGCGTTTACAACTCCACTCCGCTGAGCCTACGGGAGCACGCGAAAATAACGACAATGGCGCACGTCGTAGCCACCCAGGGAGCCGCGAGGTCTCGGCTGGGTGCGTTTACAACTCCACTCCGCTGAGCCTACGGGGAGCACGCGAAAATAACGACAATGGCGCACGTCGCAGCCACCCAGGGAGCCGCGAGGTCTCGGCTGGGCGCGTTTCACAACTCCACTCCGCTGAGCCTACGGGGAGCACGCGAAAATAACGACAATGGCGCACGTCGTAGCCACCCAGCGAGCCGCGAAGTCTCGGCTGGGCGCGTTTCACAACTTCACTCCGCTGAGCCTACGGGGAGCACACGAAAATAACGACAATGGCGCACGTCGTAGCCACCCAGGGAGCCGCGAAGTCTCGGCTGGGCGCGTTTCACAACTCCACTCCGCTGAGCCTACGGGGAGCCCACGAGAGAGGCGACGATGGCGCACTTCGCAGCCCCCCTCGGCAGCCGCGAGGCTCCCCCTCCCAGGAGCGCACACGAGAGGCAGAGCCACCACGGGGCTGCATTGCTAGCAGGACGATGGAGAGACGGGGCGAGGAGGAGGAGGAGGAGGAAGAGGAGGAGGAGGAGGAGACAGGAGGAGGAGACAGGAAGAGAAGGGAGAAGGGAGGAGGAAGAGGAAGAGAAGGAGGAGGAGACAGGAGGCAGGAAGTGAGAGGCAGGACGCAGGGGGAAGAGTGGAGACCTCAGTGCTCCAGTCGAAGCGAGAACCCCACGCGTGCGGGCTGGGGAAGCAAAACTTCTCTTCGAACCCGGAACCTCGGATCTCGCCCGACCTCCTTGCTGGCCGAAGCCAGTGCTGGGCCACCCCAGAACCCGAGCCAGCTGCTGCAAGGAGGGAGGGGAAAACGAGGGAGGCAGGAGGGATACGGTTGAAGGAATTCGCCGGCCCAACGGGCCAAGGGCGTGCTAAGATCTCCGGCAACTGGTTAATAATATTCTAGTTCGCGCGCGCGGGGCCGCCCCTGGGGGTCCCTGGACGAAAAGAACCCTGGGAGACCCCCGGGACACCCCCGGGACACTCGGATCAGAGATGCCAGACCGGGCAATTTTTCGACACCCCTCACGAGGATCGTGGCCTCCGAGGGGAGGGGCGCAATCGACTACCCCCCCTCCTGACCCAAGAGGTCCCGAAGAGCCCCAAGAGGCTGCAAGTGCCCCCCAGACGCAGCCAAGGAGCCCCAAGAGACTCCCAAGAGGGTCCCCAAGAGGCCCCCAAGAGGCCCTAAACAGGGCTCCAGGGCCGGCGGAATGAGCGAAGCGATTAAACAAACTGTGCAACTACAAAACCCGAGCCAGAAAAAACCAAATTCCCCCCTCCGCCCTGGCCTTAACACTGGCAAGGGTTGCGCTCGAGATGCTGGGTTCAAGAGTAAGGCTGGGGGGTGGATGGGGATGATGTGAAGTGGCTCCGAAAAGTTTGTTGCACTGCTTTTCTTTCAACGGTATGGGAGGGAGGGGGGGAGGAGGCAAGAGGGATGGGAAGGCAGGAAGGATAGGGAGGCAGGAGGGCTAGAGAGGCCACGAGGGATAGGGGGGCAGGAGGGATGATTGGGGAGGCAAGAGGGATAGGGAGGAAGGGACAAGGAGGGACAGGGAGGCAGGACAGACAGGGAGGCAGGGGGTAGGAGGGGGGCAGGAGCGATGGGGAGAAACAGAGGGAGGGGGGCAGGAGCGAGGCAGGACGGATGGGGAGGGATGGCGGGGTCCGTCGTCCGTCGTCCGCCGTCGTCCGTCGTGCGTCGTCGTCGTCGTCGTCGTCGTCGTCGTCGTCAAGGTCGTCGTCGTCGTCGTCGTCGTCGTCGTCGTCGTCGTCGACGTCGTCGTCGTCGTCGTCGTCGTCCGTCGCCGTCGTCGTCGTCCGCCGTCGTCGTCGTCGTCGTCGTCGTCGTCGTCGTCGTCGTCGTCGTCGTCGTCGTCGTCGTCGTCGTCGTGCGCGGCGCCGCCTCGGCGGACGCCCGGAGCACCGCGGCCTCGGGCGCGGCGCCCCGCGCGGGCCGCAGGCCGCCGGGCCCGAGCCCCGCGTGGCGGGCCGCGGCCACCGCCGCCGAGGCCACCGCGGCCCCCGCCAGCGCCGCCGCGGGGGCCCGCGCCCAGCGCGGGCGCGGGGCGCTGGGCGGGGCGGCCTCTCGCGCTCGGGGCCCTCGTCGCCGTCGCCGTCGTGGTCGTCGTCGTCGGCGTCGGCGTCGGCGTCGGCGTCGGCGTCGTCGTCGTAGTCGTCGTCGTCGTCGTGGTCGTCGTCGTCGGCGGCGTCGTCGTCGGCGGCGTGAGCGTGGGCGTGGGCGTCGTCGTCCAGAGCAACTCGAGCCATGAGACAATCGCGACGGGAGGCTCTCGTTTCGGCGGTGGACAAACCTCCATTTCGTAAACCTCCCCTCAGTGAAAACGGCCTGGGACCGAAACTGGTGGACCTGGACCCGCAAAAATGACGGCCGCGGCGCCCTCTCGCGAACCGAAAACGGCCAATTCCTGAATCGACGTGTCAGGGTAGGAGGTCTATCCACCTCCGATCGTTGTTCCCGTCTCCTGCGGAACCTTATGCCGAGGGGAAGCCGGTTCCTGGGGGACTGGGTCGAGACCTCTGGGGGCCGACGCTGTGAGAAATCTGGACAGCGGGGGGCTGGGCTCCGAAGGGGGGCGCGCGTGTGCGCGCGCCGCTCCGAAAGCCGCGCTAAGGGCGATGTTGGTCAACGGCGACGTTGGGCAGTCGCTGTTCGTGACACCGAGCTCGCGCAAAACAAACTGTAGGAAATTGCGAACCACACTCTCCTACATCTCAAATGTGCGAATGCATCGCGCGAGAACGGCGCAACGAACTGTAGGAGAACGCGAACCGCGCGTTCCTACAATTGGTTTCGCCGCGAACCACGCCTTCCTACAATTGGTTTTCCTACTTCGCCGTTAACTAACACACGGGTCCCTGGGGAAAAACCGGTCCCGGTGGGGAAATAGCCAGTCCCGGGGGAGTGGGTCGAGACCTTCAAGACCTCTGGGGATCGACGTTGTGAAAATTCTGGATGTCGGGCGGCTGGAGGGTTTCTCCGAAGGGCTTAGGCGACCCGTCCTCTTCCTCCTCCTCCTCCTCCTCCTCCTCCTCCTCCTCCTCCTCCTCCTCCTCCTCGTGAGAGCAGAGCTCGGGCCTGCTGTGGCCCGAGCGGTCCCCGCCCGCCTGCAGAGTCGGGCGCCAAGCTGCGGCCAGGCCGCCACGCAGGTGTGCTTCGTTCGGGCACGGGTGCTCTGTGTCTCGCTTTTCGGGAGAGCGGCGCGCGTACACGCGCGCCCCCCTTCGGAGCCCAGGTTTCACTCGGGGACGTAGGCGACCGGAGGAGGAGGAGGAGGGGGAGGAGGAGGCGCGCGCCCGCCGCCGCAGAGGCCCGCAGCCGCAGGCAATGTTCCCGGCGCCCAGGCCGCCGCCGCCGCCGCCGGAACCCGTCGCGGGGGCGGCGCCGATGGCCTCCGAGACGGAGGCGTGCGCGCCCCGCGTTCTCGCCGGAGCGTCTGGAATGTCTGGGGCGCGTCGTGCCCCGCAGCTGCGGGTAAGAATGAGAGGGGGGCGGGCGTGCCGCGGGGGTGGGTCGCGGGGCGGGTCGCGGGGGTGGGTCGCGGGTACGGCTGCGGGGAGGTCGTGGGCGAGGACGACAACAACAAAGCAGCAGCACAACAACAACAACAACAACAACAACAACAACAACAACAACAACAATCATTTTACCCGAACGCTCAGTGTTCTCACCAGTGCCAGGGTTTTCATGCGACGCGAGACAATACCCCCACTTCGTGGGGGGGCAGTTCAAGCTCTACCAAATATCCAAACGACTCTTCGCGACCACCCAAACCCAGCTTCCCGCCCTATGACGTTGGGACACTTCACTTCGTGGCGTGCGGACGACCGTGGCTACTACACTGGCGTGGGGTACACACCCACAGAACTTGGTCACTTATTCGGGGCGCGCGTGTGCCCAGCATCCTGCAATTGTGACATACAATACATGACACAGACAGACAGAGAGAGAGACAGAGAGCAGACAGAGAGAGAGACAGAGAGAGCGGAGTTGGTCACATTTTTGGGGCAAGTTCCTGAGATCGTCGTGTTTTTTGTTGGTCTTGCGCGCGCGAATGTCCACTTTACTTTTTTTTGCAAGGGAGTATTGAAATTTGATTATGTTAGAACAAGAAAAAGTAGCTCGCGCGAGCTCATGTAACATAAATGTTGAAAAACCATTGGTTTTGTGGGAGTCGGACAGCGCGCGCGGGATGAAATTTGGACATTTTTTTTTGAAAAACCATTGGGTTTTTGATGTTTTTATGTTGAAATCGCTACGAAACCTAAGGTTCTGGAAGGATTTCGTCTTGCGCGCGCGAATGTCCACTTTACCTTATTTTTTGCAAGGGATTATTGAAATTTGATTATGTTAGAACAAGAAAAAGTAGCTCGCGCGAGCTCATGTAACATAAATGTTGAAAAACCATTGGTTTTGTGGGATTCGGACAGCGCGCGCGGAAGGACATTTTGACATTTTTTTCTTAAAAAACCATTGGGTTTTTGATGTTTTTATGTTAAAATCGTTACGAAACCTAAGGTTTTGGAAGGATTTCGTCTTGCGCGCACGAATGTCCACTTTACCTTATTTTTTGCAAGGGATTCTTGCAATTTGATCAAGTAAGAACAAGAATTTTCATTTTCTATTGTTTTTTGCAAGGGAAAACGAGCGTCAACAAAAAACCGGATCCGGAGCTCATCCACTTTTCTGAAGCTTTCGCGAAAAAATGATGAAAATGTAGCTGCGGCCTAGGCGCGGCGCAGAGGTCGCGCACCAGGGGTCCCAACAATAATAATTCTTTAGAAGGAATAATGTTCAACAACAACAACAACAACAACAACAACAACAACAACAACAACAATTACTAGCACGTGGGGACACTCCGTTCTCACCAGTGCCAGGGTTTTCATAGGAGGCGGGCAATACCCCCACTTTGTGGGGGGGCCGGTTCAAGCTCTACCAAATTTCCAAACGACTCTTCGCCACCACCCACACCCAGCTTCCCGCCCTATGACGTTCGGACACTTCACTTCGTGGCATGCGGACGACCGTGGCTACTATTCAGGGCCCCGCGGCCGACGACGACGGCGTGCGCGCGCGAAGAAAAAACGAATGTGTCCCGCATGGTATTATTTGACAGGGATGATGGCCCTGGCAGGTGCGCAACCGTTGTCGCAGAAGTTCGAAAAAGTTGCTCGCAAAAGCCCGTTTGACAGAAATGTTTAAAAAGTGTTGGGTTTCCTACGAATCCGCAAGAGCGCGCGGGATGAGATTTTGACATTTTTTGTTGAAAAACCATTGGTTTTTTGATGTTTTTATGTTAAAATCGCTACGAAAACTAAGGTTTTGGAAGGATTTCGTCTTGCGCGCGCGAATGTCCACTTTACCTTATTTTTTGCAAGGGATTCTTGAAGTTTGGTTATGTTAGAACAAGAAATGTCCACTTTAGCTTATTTTTTGCAAGGGAAAACGGATCGTAACAAAACAACCGGATCTGGATCACATCGTTTTACCTGAGACTTCCTCACGAAAATGATGAAAATGTGGCTGCGGCCTAGGCGCGGCGGGGGGTCGCGCACCAGGGGCCCCAACAATAATTATTCTTTAGAAGTAATAATGTTCAACAACAACAACAACAACAATTACTAGCACGACACTCCGTTCTCACCAGTGCCAGGGTTTTCATAGGAGGCGGGCAATACCCCCACTTTGTGGGGGGGCCGGTTCAAGCTCTACCAAATTTCCAAACGACTCTTCGCCACCACCCACACCCAGCTTCCCGCCCTATGACGTTCGGACACTTCACTTCGTGGCATGCGGACGACCGTGGCTACTATTCAGGGCCCCGCGGCCGACGACGACGGCGTGCGCGCGCGAAGAAAAAACGAATGTGTCCCGCATGGTATTATTTGACAGGGATGATGGCCCTGGCAGGTGCGCAACCGTTGTTGCAGAAGTTCGAAAAAGTTGCTCGCAAAAGCCCGTTTGACAGAAATGATTAAAAAGTGTTGGGTTTCCTACGAATCCGCAAGAGCGCGCGGGATGAAATTTTGACATTTTTTTTTTTTTGAAAAACCATTGGTTTTTTGATGTTTTTATGTTAAAATCGCTACGAAAACTAAGGTTTTGGAAGGATTTCGTCTTGCGCGCGCGAATGTCCACTTTACCTTATTTTTTGCAAGGGATTCTTGAAGTTTGGTTATGTTAGAACAAGAAATGTCCACTTTAGCTTATTTTTTGCAAGGGAAAACCGATCGTAACAACACAACCGGATCCGGACCAACCCGTTTTGCCTGAGACTTCCTCACGAAAATGATGAAAATGAGGCTGCGGCCTAGGCGCGGCGGGGGGGTCGTGCACCAGGGGTCCCAACAATAATTATTCTTTAGAAGTAAGAATGTTCAACAACAACAAAAACAACAACAACAACAACAACAACAACAACAACAACAACAACAACAACGACGACGACGACGACGACGACGACAACAACAACGACAACAACGACAACGACAATGACAACAACAACACCACCAGCAACAACAACAACAACAACAACAGCAACAACAACAACAACAACAGCAGCAGCAACAACAACAACAATAACAACAATAACAACAACAACAACAACAACAACAACAACAACAACAACAACAACATCAACACAACAAAAACTACGACAGCAACAACAGCAACACCAGCAACAACAACTACAAGAGCAGCAACAGCAGCAGCAGCCATAACAACATTGGCAACCTTTAACAACACCCACAAGCACAATGGTAACCACAACAAGAACACTGACAACACCAACAACAACAATAACAACAACACCTCCAACAACAACACGAACAACACCACCAACAACAACAACAGCAGCAGGAACAGCAGCAACAATAACACCACCACCATCACCACCACCACCACCAACAACAACAACGACAGCAATCATTTCAAGACTGTTCGCTCGTATATGCTCGAATGTCCGTTAACG